CGTAAAGCTCCGGCAGATCAGAAGTCCCACGCTGCAGGCTCTGCAAACCTTACCTCTCCTGGGCTGGAGGCCCGCTCGGAGTTACCTCCCAGTCACAGTCCATATACCCGGAGGGTCATCCGTGTAGCGACAAAGCTGTAGGCTCCAGATCTCCCCACTTGGAAGTGGAGGACCCAAGGGGTCTCAAGGGGGTTGAAGCCTGTGGCACAACAGCCTAATTCGTGACAACCAGGGGGACTCAAGCAAATCCATGCCAGTAATGAGAGGGAGACAGAGCGCAGAAAACCTGCTCGCTCACTATGCCTTCCAACAGTGGGAATTGGTTAAAGCTACATTCATTGGATTTAGAAGGTCTATCTATAGCATGATGGATCCATAAGGCCTAGGATTATTTATGATGACCAGTTGTCTTTTAATTTTACGGTCTTTCTTTTCTTAGGTTTATTGTGTCTCATGGACCTTAACTGCAGTCCCAGTGGTAATTTACTATGCAATATGTCTTAAGTTCTAAGCATAATTATTAAAGTATTCCTTGCCTGCGTTCTCTAACATATAAAATGTACTCTTTTCTCTGCCATGTCATTGATTGCTTTTGAATTGCTTGCAAGCCTGTCTGTTATCTTATGCACAAGAAAAATAAAGAATGACAAAAAAAGATTGTTTGCATTGTTCTAAAAAAGTAGCAATCAGCATAGACACTACACTTTTATAACTTTTAGTCACTATTTCCCTCTACATTTTAAGGAAGGAAGCTGATCCTTCAAAGAGTCGATCCTTCAAACATCTCCTTCTAGCATGAATAGGGCTAAGAATGTAAGAAAGGCTAGAAAGGTTGTAGTGGTTAGGGGTTATTATTAAAAGAGGTTGATCTGTCGCTCTGATCATGTCAACCGGACAATTTGCCATCTCCCGGGTGCTCGGGTCTGGCATGTTGCTGACAGAGTGGATGGATTATTGGGAAGGGCTGAGGATAACCTGGCTGTCATGGTTCATATTGGTATCAATGACAAAGTCAAAGTAAAATGGAGGGTCCTAAAGAATGAGTTCAGATAATTAGGAAGTAAACTGAAGAAAAGGAAATCCAAGGTAGTATTTTCAGAAATATTACCTGTGCCATTTGCTGTAGTAGAAAGGCAGCAGGAGATTAGAGGGGTCAATGCGTGGCTGAAATCTTGGTATAGGAAGGAGGATTTTGGCTTATTGGAGCACTGGGCTGATTTTGCAATTGGCTACAATCTTTATAGTCATAATGAATTGCACCTAAACTGAAGAGGGTCTGCTGTGCTGGGAAATAAGATGGCTAGAAGGTTGGAGGAGATGTTAAACAGGTGGGAAATTGGGAGATAGGACAGAAAGGAGATGGGATTTTACTCAGCACAAAGGGGGTGGATGATGGGTAAAGGCAAGATCAGAACAAAGGATGAATGTAATAGTAATAAATATTCACATAACGTACAAGTGACTCATGATATTATTAAATGTATGCACACTAAAGCAAAATCTAAAATATATAAGTAAAAAAAAATTAAAATGTAGGTACACTGAAATCAGCAGTAGGTGTGTTAGTTAATAAAGATCAGAAAAGGCAGAAAATGTAAATATCAATTTTTCCTCAGTATATTTTAAGGAGGAACCTATGGCAAAAAATATGCACATGATTGCAAAACACTTGTGAAAAATTGTGATTGGATGACTCAAGACAAGGTAAAGAAATTTAATGTAAACAAATTTTCGGGGCCTGACAGTATTCACCCACGAGTACTTAAGAAGCTAAGTGTGGAAATAAGTGAACCTCTGTTTTTGTTTTCTTTAATTTGACAATTTTTATTAAGATTACAATGAGGAAGCATAAAAAAGAAGTAACAAATAAACATATGGGTGACATATACATATATAAACCCTATGAACTTGGCACAGAAATTGTTGATGAAAATAATTTACCCTGCTGTTATCTGACAACAATTATTAGGACACGTCTCCTTTGCAGACTGAGATAATTATATCGCAATACATAGTACATTACATGATACAGTGCCCAGGACACTGAGTTGGTTTAATGGTAAAAAAACCCCAAAACATTACACTGGGGTTTTCTTCTAAACAACCCATTTTCTCCCAATGTGGGAGATATTTTGTTTGTATGCGGAAGGATAGGCCAAAATAGTTTCATAAGATTTTTTCCTAGATACCATAGATATCACCTTTTCTGTTGAAGCTATGTTAGTTGATTTCCAAAGTTCTATTAGGCACAGGGATGAGATAAGCACATGAAAAAATATCACTTTGCATTCAATGGGAGTGCTATCTGGGAATGGGAAGGCATCTGGGAAGACAAGAATCATTCAGGTGTAAAGGGAAGTTTCATACAGTATCTTCCTGTGCAATTCTATGGGATGTGCAGTGCCAGTGACAAACCACAATAAAATAATTTTTGAATGGCTTCCCTGGTTCCGATGAGTGCCTGCAGCCCTTCTGATCTACATTGATATGTTAAAGTGGTTGTAAATATATAAACGGATTAGCTTAGCATTACAAACCAGAGTTATATCTATCCCAATATACATTTCCTTCTTTCACACATAAAAAATAAAAGTGT